ATGTCAGTGTTGGTGGTTTGACCAATCAACCGACAACTGCGGTAGCAGAAATTTGGGAAGCTAACCTGAAATGCCATCGGAAAACGAATCCACATGTTTCTAGAAATGATATGAAATCTAGAAAGGTTAATGCAGTCAAGCTGCTGGAAAATAATTCCATGAAAATCAAAAAATGGATAGATAAGTACTCTTTGTTCATTCCCATATTGATTTCAATTTGAGAGCCACCGGTATACAGCTGTTTCAGCCTATTGGGCATCGTCAGTAACCGGCAGGCGGTCCTCGATTGAAGACAAAATGTGAAAAACCAGAAAAGTACTTGATAAAAATAGCTGCGTAAACGCAAGTGAAACATAATTGGAACCACCTATTGGTGTGACATACAAGTCAACTTGCCAAGTTTTTTATGTCAGTGTTGATGGTTTAACCAATCAACCGACAACTGCGGTGGCAGAAATTTGGTAAGCTAAGTTAGTTTTCCATTGCTAATTTGTTTCAGCTGATTTGGTAACTTATTATAACACCTGATTACATTGTACCATGGGGAGTTCTCATATAATGAGGTTCTGTGTTGTGGAATTCTCAAAAAAGCTCCATGCCGTGTATTATGTTCGTGTTCATATCCATTTGTCACAAAAACCGATAAGTTATCATATCTCATGTTGTAAGAACAACCTAAAGAGACAAATATATTATCTATCTATCTATCTATCTATGAGGGTTAAAATCTTTTTTTCTATTAAAATAGGCCGGCAACTATCTCTGAAATTCAAATTAAATATAAGTCTCAGGATTCTATTCTGAGCCACAAAAAATCTATTTAAGTCTCTTGCTCTTCCCCAAGCCATGATATTCAAACTAAGCCGAGAGTGAACCATTGCGTAGTAAATATTTAGGAGGCCTGCTTCATCTAAACTGGGCTTCATCTGCCATATAGCATAAAAGGCTTTGTTTAGATTTGCACATACATGATTAATTTGTTTTCCCCAATTTAGGTTAGCGTCAAGATGAATACCCAGGAATTTTACTTCTGTGGACGTTTGCAAGTCATCAATTTCGATAACGTGTGGGGTCGCCATTTCCTGTAAAATTTCACGGCCACTGACTTTGAGGTGTTAAGGATTAGTTTATTTCTCTGACACCAGGAGCTGAAATCATCGATAACGGTCTTCACGTTGGAAGCAACTTGTTCAACAGTTGAACTTGATATGGTAATGGTAGTATCATCGGCAAACATTGTAACATAACCCGTTGTTACATGTTGAGGCATGTCGTTAACATATAGGAGAAAGAGTACTGTCCGATAACAGATCCTTGGGGGACACCAAATTTTAAGGCATGAGAATCAGAAAATACATTATTACAAAAGACGTACATAGTTCGTCCCGTCATGTAGGATTTGATCCAATTTATGACGTTAGATGGGAAATTACATTGTCTTATTTTTTCAAAAGAAATACTACGCACACTGTATCGAATGCCTTCGATAGGTCAAATAATAGTGATAAAAAGCAGTGATGGGCATAATCGAATGATTCTGAGAATCGAAAGATGAGTACTCGAGTGATCCCAAAAATCGAAATATTCGAATGAAATCACTCGGATACTACGTCACTCGTCACTCAACGATTTGATTCGAGATCCGGCGATGCAAGCAATAAGCACGCAATCACTCGATGCTCATGAGGTCATGTGCCATGTGAAACGCCCACATTAATTCGCTTCAAGGTTGCTATTTGCTTGAAGGCAGGAATCGTGAATCGGCTATAAATGAACTGGATTATTTTATGAGTTAGGATTGTTTGAATTTGTCGCACTAAGAATACAAACAGAGAGCATTGAAATTAAAACAGTGGCAATAATTTTTGAGTTTGGAGGATTGGAAGCCGTTGCAACGAAATTTCTGTTATTACTCATATATTCCACTGTTTTTTCTTCTCTTACTTATTGTGTAGTTGATACCTTTATTCCGTTATTATTACTTACTGTTTTGATATTGAACAATGTGGCTTAGAGCTAAGAGATCTATTGGTTGTGAACATTTTGACAAAACAGAAAATGGTCTCAAGTTCAGTGCCGAATTTGCAAGAGAGTTCTCAAGTTTTTTGTAACACTACCAATTTAAACCAACATATAATATATTTTCATTTCTGAGGACTTTTATTTTTTGTTTATGTTTTCAATATATTTTAACAAGCCACCATTAAATTTCAATAAAGTTCGTACTTGTAATTATTCAAAGTTTATCGTCAACAAATTTCTGAACATTCACCACATCCTACAAACATGTGTCGGTATATAGGCCGGCACTGCACTGGTGCGTAGAGGCGCAAGACTAGAACACTATTTTCGACTTTTCACTCACTACTAATTTGATTCGATATTCGATGCATACAACATTCGAATGATCTGAATCGTTCGAATGATTCCATTTGACATCTCGAGTGATTGCAATAATCAAATGACCGATTATTTTTAATTCGAATGATCCCATGTTTGATAAGAAGTAGTTATTAATATCAATCTGAGTGTAAATGTAATCGAGAAGATGGTAGGAAGCTGTTTCAATGGATCTCTTTTTAACAAAACCGTGCTGAGAGGTTGAGAGTATGTTGTTGCTTTTCAAGTAATCGGTTATTCTGTTTACTATTATCTTTTCTATTAATTTGGATAAGGAACAGAGCAGCGATATTTGCCTGTAATTGTCAATTTCATTTGAATTACCTTTTTTGTGGAGAGGAATCACAAGTGCCTTTTTTAAAACATCAGGAAAGATTCCTTGCGCGAGAGATTGTTCTATAAGAAACGTTAGTGGTTTAATAATAGCGGGAAATATATGTTTGATAGAAATAATGAAAATTTCATCCATACCTGAGGATGATTTGTTCTTCATTTCATGATAACTTTCAAGCCCAATAAAAGTACAGTCTCGAATTTCATGTTGGAAAATCCAACTTCAAGTAAAAACTTATAAATAATATTCATCTGATGGATGTGTATTTTTGCCCTAAAAAAAAAGAATGAGTACTCACCCTTTTTATATAACTATAATCTGCTTTAATCCACTGAACTATAGATGTGGTATCTTTATCCCAGAAAAATAAGTGGCCCGTACAAGATCCGCTAACGACAAACTCTGAATTAGGCCCAAAAAAATTGGCATTCAGCATAGCCAATGAATAATTATGGCGTCCAAAGTATTTTTTCAAGAATATTCCCGGCTTTGAGTTGACGTCAAATAAATATATTTCATCGTCGTTATATGACGCGAGAATTTCAGTTCCATTGTGATTGTATTCCACGGAAGTCACAAAAATCCTACGGGTTGCTCGATCCTGCAAAGAATATAACATATTTATTAGTTCTATCTGTAATAATTATAATATAGAATATCGAGTACGGATGATATATGTTATGGGAAGCTAATGCATCAGAACTTGATTTTTTTACTTATCTACTCCTTGGAGGTATTCAAAAAGTATGCAGTCAATTATGTATTCAATCTACAGATTTATGCCTTGTATGTTTGTTAGTTTTTAGAGTTGGTGTTGGTTTTGATTGTTTTATTTAGCATTTATGAGTAGTTTATAAGTTGCTTTTTACGATATGATAAATCATTCATAACATGTATAACTTGATCTATTCCTTTATCTCAAGAAACAAATCTGTAAAGAAAATACAAAAAATTTAAACATAACAATACTCAACAAAAAAAGATTTTTATTTTTTAGACAGTCAAAATTAGATAATGATGAAAAAATTAATGCTAGTGAGAGTTCATTTCTCCTATGAAAAAAATCTTCAATAGTGAGAGTATATTTCTCCAAAAAACGTTTCTTTCAATTTGTTTTTGAATTTATCTAAGTATTTTGTATGTTTTGTTTCTTCTGGCAACCAATTACTAACAACCTCTTGCTTCAAACTGAAAGGAGAGATTAAAACAGTTTCATTCTCTTGTAAATAACGTCTCAATTACAAACAGCTATATTTCCTTTGACACACGTCGAAAGAATGAAATGTCCGTCTATTATATTCCAAAGTCTACATGAATATACATGTTTACTGATAATTCAATTTGGCCTCCTGCCTTAGCAATGACAATCAGGCACAATCCGTTACCGCAGAGCTACTTGAAATACACTTGTTTCCTGCTAATAGTTTTCTCATTTTTGCAAGACATTTTTTGATGACCATTTATGTTTCACTCCATTTCATTGCTCGACCACCAGTTGATTTTAGAATGTGCTCCGCTATTTAAAACAAGAGCAAGGTATATTGTATTATCCATTTCATTGCTCGACCACCAGTTGATTTCAGAATGTGCCACAAGAGCAAGGTATATTGTATTATCCGTATTATCACGTGTCCCACAAGGGTCAGTACTTGGCCCTTTGCTATTCATAATTTACATCAACGACATTGATGAGAGCTCCCTGTGCCAGCATCCTTCATATAATATTAAATCCGAAATAATTCGGATTCATTTAAGTAAATACATGAATTGAAAGATATTCAAACCTCACTTCAATATTTTAACACAAGAACACTCAGTATTCAGAATTTCATCTTTTAATATTTCAAGTTCATAGACATCGAAATTGATCCGATCACAGGATATAGAATATAAAACAATCTCTAAATACGCAAAGTTGGCACAGATTGCATGCTGTGCATTTTACCTTAGTACAGTGACCGGATCAAAGTCGCAATGTCAGCGTATAATTCTTTATAAATATTGAAGGAGGTCAAGAACAGACATCAGACAGTATTCATTTGAGTGTCCATTGATCATCAGCAATGCAGCACATCTTCTTCTCTTCAATCCTGCTGGGTGGCAGTACAATGTAAGTTTTTTGCTGTTTTAATGTATTTTTCTTATTAACATTTGAGTGTGAGTTTATTTAAAGTATTTTTCCCGTTTTCTTTTACAATAAATATTCAATTAAGTTTTAAATGAGTTCTTTCATTATTTTTGGATGAATGAATGAATGGGTGAAATAGCAAATAAAAATCCTCTCGTTAATAGCCAAGCGAGTACTGAGTTGCGACACTATGTACGCAGATGACACCTCACTTATAATTTCCAACACCCGAGAAAGTTCCATAACGGAAAACTGTGACGAAACGTTATCCATAGTTCNATGTGTTGGTTGTTCTAAAAGTTGTTCTTAAATCATATCTGTGACCGATTAGTCTCTGTTTTTTCAGACAAACTGGAATCATTAGATATGAGGTTAGTTATGAGAAACCTGTATTGTAGTTAAGGTTGTAATAATTCTAGTTGCTGTTTTTACCCACTCCATTGACAGCTCTTTCTACAAACTATTCCTAATATGCGTTTTCCTCTAAAAACAGTTACAATAGTTATTTCTTCCCTCAGATTAAGAACCAAATAGCACACTGTCATTGTTATGCACTTGACACTTGCATGACAAGTGGAGATATCTATTAGTATGAGTATTATTTCAATCAACACTCTTATCAAGAGGAGCATATTCCATATATCAACTGGTTATTATGCAATAAAATGTAGTGAAACAAAAATTGTCACCAAGGAACATCAAGGAAAAATTGGACAACTCAAAGAATTTGTATATATGCATTCCTTTAGCAGGTAACAAATGTATTTCAAATAGCTCTGTGGAAATAGATTGTACCTGATTGTTATTGCTATTGAAATTGAGGTGTTTTTATTGGTGGATTTTTTATTTTTGACAATGGAAATAGATTACAGTGAAGTATGAAAATTTTCATCAATATTGAAAAAATCACGTTCAAATAAGGCAAAGTTGAATTTCTAATTATGAATTTCATAATTCCTAGGTAATTTATAAAGTTTACAGAACCCTGAGCTTGCAAAATAACACAAACAAGGCTATTGATAGGCTATTATTTGCAAAAGCAGGAATTCAAAGGTACTGAACCAAACATTTTCGGAGGTAGTTGTTTTTGAAATAATATAAATTCCTGTATGAAGGTGACTTTCTGAGTTTTCTGGCTGTGGTCTGCAAGTTTTTATGTCTGACGTTTTTTCTACTGATGCGGTAAACATTTTCAAAGGCGATGTAATGTGGTAACGGCCGCAATACCTGAGCTGGTGGTGCTCTGGTTCTTGTTCCTGTTGTATCCAATGCATCAACTTAATGCGTTGGATACAACAGACATAAAAATCTGCAGACCACGGCCGAAAAACCCGGAAAATAGCCTTCATACAGTTATCTCTGGTCGTGAAAGTTAATATTGATTCCTATTTTGTCACTCCCAGGGCTACTTATAGTAATAATAAATAAAAAAAAGTATCTATTGATTTAGTTAGTTTTTGAACATTCATTTAGTAATAGCATTGATGAGGCTCGTGACCTGGTTGATATCTTTTACAAATCTCCGATCTTTATTCGTCATATGAATTCTATAATTAGTAAGCCACTACAACTACTGGGTTTCATCAGTTGGAATTATATTGACTTGGATATAAATTAATTGAAAACATATCTCCCCTATGTTAGATCGATTCTAGAATATGCAATAATTGTATAGTCTCCTTATTAGAATCAGTCTAGAATTGATTTTGACTTATCTGTGTGTACAAATTGGAATTTGTGTGGGGAATAGTTCAAGTAAATGATATAGTGCCACCTACCTTCCAACAACATAAACCGGTAATGGGTACAGGGGAGTTCGAAATTAAAGTGTTGGTGTTGAAAACATACCTGGTCAACGAAACCGATGGTTGACCATGAACCACCCAAAGAGGCGTTATGTGAGTGTTTGTTATGATTTTTACTAACCAGTTGATGTTTAGAGAGAGTTCACATATTATTTTATCCGAGTCCATTTCCCATTTGCAAAGAGGTTATATATTGTTGGGTAACTAGTGCTGATTGATTAGCTAGAGTTCATTTGACAATTAAAAAAAAATGTGAAAATTTGTACTTATACACCACTCTCCCTAAAGTAAAAGTAAAACCGAGTTAAAGCTTCTATGTTCTTATGATAGTCAACATTGCAGTCCTCAAATGTTTTCCACACAATTTCAAAGAATTAGGAACCCATTCTTTACTTCCTCCGCAATGCACAATGATTAATCACGATCCTTTGTTTGGAGGCATGTTAGGCGTACACATTCTCGAACCATCAGTCCACCCTTTTATGACTGTGTCGTAAGTGTCATACCAAGTTTCGTCCAAATAGAAAATTTGCCGTTGTTCTTGTCTATGTAATAATAACTGCACCAATATCGAATTTCAACACTCAAATCGCGATCAGTTCCCGAACTGAACACGACGGCGGTAACTATTCCCAGATTCCCCGATTTCTATTCGGCACCGTAATATGACTTCAAATTTAATTTTATGACTCTTCAGCCAATCATAAAACTCGGTTAGTAAAAATTATCCAATATGAACTGCCAAGTCTACAGTCCACGTGGACTAATTTGCTGCTAGTTCATTTCTATGTATTGGTTTTTTTTGGCCTTTGAGAGTGCCGCTAACTTAAAAAGAAAATCTGTTTTTCTGTTAACCAGCTGTCGCACCCCTACGAACGACAACCCTCAGAAGTAGAAACTTGTGCGAGCTAAGGATTAACGAGGTCCTACCTTTTAACGTGTGATTCCTAACACGGGTTAGACGAGAGCAAGTGAAGATCGATCGTTCAGACTAGGGCTTGAACCACCGACCAACACGGCAGTCAATTCGAGTGAGTGAACAAAGCACCCACGCCGAACCGCTTGGCTACCGACCGACCGGTCGGTAGCACATAAGAGTGCACATAATCGTTTACTTCGACTATACTTACGAAAATATCCCAATCTTAAATATTGTCAATTCAGTCACTCTAGGGCAGTGGTGGCCAACCTTTTTGTAAGATGTGCCACTTTTGACTTCGAAAGTTTGCGTATGCCAACCATTTTTGTCATATCAATAGTATCTATGTTTTCCAATTTTATACTTTATAAAAATATAAACTTACTCTCTACTACTATATTATTGATATACTCATAAATATAAAATAAAATCTCTTTAAAAACAAAAAAATACAAAATTAAAAAATTATATTTTCGAAAAATAAAAAACAAAGTCAAATTTAGGCAATTTTTGATGTGGTTTTTGTATCTGAATATTTTTTTAGAATGTCATCAATATCGGGAGAAATTTTTGAAGAAGCAATCAACATTAGATGTTTTAAGGTTGAGCGGTATTTAGTTTTAAGAAATTTATAACTGAAAATGTCTTTTTGCATACGAACGTTGATCCAAACCGGCAACAGTATCTAAGAGCCAAATCGTTCAACTGGTTCAACTGGAAAATCTGCAGCAGGTACAAATTTCCAAAACTCGATTGCAAATCAATTAACTCAGTTTGAATTTCAGCTGAATATTATTTGATCTCCTGTAGAAAAATGCTCAATATTTCAATCAGTCATATTTTGGTGTTTTATCAAATTTTGTTAGTAGTTCATGCATGCGACGAAAATGAGTTAATCTCTCTTGTTCGAAATCATTTTCAAAAAGCACCAGTTTGGAAACAAAAAAGAAAACGTGTGAAATTATTGTAGGAAAAATACAATTTTTGCCCTGAAGTCGTAAATTTAAGTTATTTAAATGTCTCATAATGTCTGTCAGAAACGCAAGATTCCACAACCAATCTTATTTTTTCAAATGTGAGCACTCATTGGGAGCTCATTGTTGTCTTCTGAGAACTTTAAAACATTCTCTCTAAGATTCCAAAACCTATCAAGGGCACTTCCTTTGAAAAGCCAACGCATATCACAATGAAGAAGAAGTTCACCAGTTTCTTCAAGAAAGAGACTACCGGTTTAATAACAGAAGAAAAGTCCAAATCTTTGGCACAAACATTTTCTTGGTGTATTATACAATTGAACTTTAAAAGTTTTCTACCCAAATAATTTTCAAGCAACGCTACAACTCCTTTTATCTTTCCAGTCATTGCCGATGCCCCTGTACATCTGTACAAATACTGTCAACTTTTGTCCAATCGAAATTTTTGATCTCGGCAACACTTTTTATTTCATTGAAAATATCTTCTCTCCTTGTAGTGCGTTGTCGCGGGTCGAGTTCTTCTGTCACATCAAAATTATTATTTATGTATCGGACAAAAATACTTTGTTAGTTATATCGCAACTCTTATCTAAAGTCAAAGAAAAATATTTGCAAAAGGACACCCCAGAAATAATTTGTTTATTAACAGAAGTAGTCATATCATCTATGCGTCTCATAACTGTATTTCGGAAAAGAGTTATTTGGTCTACCATCTTGTTAATTTTTGGATCACCTGCATGCTTAGCAAGTATTGATAAACACGGTATTATTATGTTTTCACCATCAGAATGCGGCTTCTTCTTTTTTTTTTCAGCCAATATAAGAGAAATTTCGTATGAGGCTTTTACCATCGATTCCATCTCGTCGCTCCTATTATGAAAAAAATGACTGCTGCCCTGCTAATGACCGTTTCTTCTTACTGATGAAATATGTTCGTAATTTTGAGCCCACGGGATATTTGGAATTAGAAGGACCATGCATTTGGGTGAAATGTTGCTCCAAGTTGAATTTCTTTGGAACAACCACAAAAGCACCGCAAATTAAGCATAACTGCTTAGAACTATTTTGATTCGTAAATAAAAACTGTTCTTACCACGTAACATTGAAATAACGCACGGCTATATCTTCTTCATACTTTCTTATTGATGTTGAAGCCATTTTGAAATAATAAAATAATTCCTTGCGAAAAATAGCCGCGAACCGCCAAACTAATGCGAACACTGAAATAAAAGTAATAAAACAAAACGTTCCTCTCAACTCAGACGCGATAAGGAGGGAGTAATAACTCTCAGGGCCACAAAAGGATCGCTCTCCACCGTAACTTTAATTTGTTCGGTGATGAAAAAGAATATGTTGGTTCTCAATGATGAAGATTTTATATTTTTTTGTTTGAGTAATACTGCCACTCTAGAGGCGTGCCGCCGGTTGGCCACCACTGCTCTAGTGGAACGAAGGACTTTGAAAGATCTGTTATTTCAACACAAAATCTTGCCAGGTGATCTAACTGTTTGTATATGTTATATACTTTGATATTCAGAATTATGGTCAAAGCAACTCAAAACCTTGGTTTGTTCGAATTACCAAACCATACCACTAAATATTTCAACCCAATGTAATAACTGCCATTGCGATGGTTACCATGGTTTCATTCATAGAGATTCGAGGTCGATCACCCGTTTCTTCGGTGTCGATATTTTGCCAGTTGAAAAAGCGCTGAATTACGTTATGACTGTCGGACCTTTGAGCGTCGTTGTGGTCACGTTCAAAGTTGAACTAAAAAGTTGACTAAACAAATGAATATATTGCTTTCTACCGATGATTATACGCTTGGGAAGGTTAAAAGAAACGCTTAGATGAGGTTTTTGTGGCCAGCGTTGTTGACGCGAGGGCTTGGGAGAGTTTTTGCGGAGAGACACAAAAAAAAACAGTTACTGGATCTCGTCGAGACGGGATCGGGGGTCTCATCCCTCAGCCTTCGAGGCTGAGAGTGGTGGCTTAAATAGGGGAGTTGATTTGTTTGTAAGCGCGTGGTGCGAAATTTAAGTAAAATCGGTAGTGAAATCATAAACCGGTAATGGGTACAAGGGAGTTCGAAATTAAAGTGTTGGTGTTGAAAACACACCGGGTCAACGAAACCGATGGTTGACCATGAACCACCCAAAGAGGCGTTATGTGAGTGTTTGTTATGTTTTTTACTAACCAGTTGATGTTTAGAGAGAGTTCACATATTATTTTATCTGAGTCCACTTCCCATTTGCAAAGAGGTTATATATTATTGGGTTCCTAGTGCCGATTGATTAGCTAGAGTTCATTTGACAATTAAAAAAAAATGTGAAAATTTGTACTTATACACCACTCTCCCTAAAGTAAAAGTAAAACCGAGTTAGTACGTTTGTAGTTATTCAACAGGTTAAATTATTAGTAAATAGCATGGTAAAATTTGCGGCATTTCATTTGTTCTATTTTATCTTATTTTATAGAATTTAACATTTTCCTTTTATCTAAGATTTTACACGTTGTTTTTTTTTATTATTTTGTCCATAGAGTCGTTTTCTTCTTATTATACTTTATATTTGAAATCTGGACTTTCAATTTCTCTTGAACTGAGAAAAAACACCATCCTCGTAGAGTAAGATGAAGTTGAGAGAACAAAAACAAATAAGAGACTTTTTTGTCAATCTATAGAGAAGAGAATAGTGAATGAAAAACATTTTAATTAAGATTAAAATTCAGTTCTGGAACCACATAATGAGAGAGAATATAAGTAGGTATACCCAATGATCAGATTTCAAAAAGACCGGCCTTCGTGCGATCGGCAAGAACCCTACAACCTTTTTCGGAATTTCCAAATTTTCACGTGGAGAAATCTGCATCTGGTGGCAGCAGCTGCCAGAATTGATTAAAAAAGAAAAAATAAATCAGAAAGGAGCATTAAAGGAGCTATTATTACACCAATATCAAAACTTATGCAGCTCGGAAATTCTTTCAATGGGGAAACTCATAGAAATTACCTTTGCTCAATTGAAAAAATCGTTGTTTCAAGAGGTTTCACACCTAGTGTCTACTTGACTTATATTGAATTGTTAGGTTAGGTTGAATTCAGATCTACTGTGAATATTTTTCCATGGAAAAGAGGAGTTTATTCCCTTCTAAATAATTAAATAAACAGTGAGTCATGTGAGAAAGAATTGAATAAACAATGATATTTTACATACAAATGAAAAATTTATACCTCAATACCTTCGAACAAGAATTTCATTGAATAATACTCTATCAGTTACTATTATTTTTGTGTTATTATGAAAGTTCTGGGTTCTATAAAGTTTTCAAAATTACTCAGCAACTATGGACTATTTTTCAATTCAAAGTTAACAATTTAATTCTGCTCACAAAACGTGTATTTATTAATATCCACAAAATTTTCATACCTTACTATAATTTTAGAGAGCTGCTTCTTTATGAATGGAAGAAAAATTCATAAGAACCATAAAAAATATATAAAAACTACTCTCAAAAAAGTTAAGTACTTAGGTCTGTTCAGTTGGAAATTTCAATGAAAACATTTCATAACTCAAAAATGACAATGAATTGCGTAACACATATGGAAGTGATTCTAATAGGTCTTGAAGTGTCCTATCTAAAAAAAAAAGAGAGAGGACTCAACACATCCTTGTATTTTAACCAAGTATAACATTCAACTACAGATCTATCAATTTATAAACTGAATGTGAATCAAAAGACTAAAATATAAAATACTCTTTGAAAAGTACACTGCATATTTTGCTTGCATGAAATGAGAATTCCTCCCTAAAATGATTTATGACGCTCGCCGTCAAGAAATTTTATTCTCGTGTGCAATGGTCACATTTTTCAATCATTGAACACTAATATCGTATACCCCCTTATCAAAAATGTTTGGAAATCAATTTTTTCAACTTGAAAAATTGAAATGAGTAGATACGAACACCTCCATTGAAATTTTTTCGAGAATAGTTTTCAAGACTTCAGATTTGTTAGAAAGGTAATTTGGTTACATAAAAACCATCTTATCATGTTTCCTCTGAACTTACTTTTATGTATTCGCATGGATGAATAGAAGCCAATGGAATGTCCGTCTTTCTTAGGTCGTAGGTTTCGACTTTTTCACCTTGTCCTCCGATACAGAATTCCATCGTTCTCATCGGATTGCCTTGAACGGTGAAGAGAGGCATAGTGACTTGTAATACCCTGAAAATTTCACAAAATATAATAAGGTTGTAATAATTCTAGTTGCTGTTTTTACCCACTCCATTGACAGCTCTTTCTACAAACTATTCCTAATATGCGTTTTCCTCTAAAAACAGTACTACAATTCTTGAAAAAAATTTTTTTTGAATAGTTATCAATATGATTTTTGAGATTCAACTGATTTTCATAATTTAACGTATTAGATTTGAAATCCAATTTACAACTATATTACTATTTACAATTATATTACGAATTTACGAAATTGAATGTGAGGACTGCGATGCAAAATATTATGGACAGACAAAAAGATCTATAAAAATAAGATATAAGGAACACTTAGCACACTTGAAATATGGAAGACCTGAAAAATCAGAAGTCGCCTATCATATTTTGCAACAAAACCATTCCATAGACTTCAGTTCATTAAGATTTGTTAGTTAAGTTAAAAACAACAGGCATCCAGATGCCTATATAGTGTAGAAATAAGTAAACATAATAATATTATGAATAATGATCTTGGAACAATACCTAATATTATATAGCTTGTTAAAATAATATTTTGATTAGAGATTTACCTGACTCTTACATAAGAACACATTGTAGAAATTAATTTAAGACTAGTAGATAAGGCAATATTGCTGAACTAGTTTTATATAGCTTGTTAAAATAATATTTTAATTATTAGATTTACCTGATCATTACATAAGAACACATTGTAAAATTAATTTAACACACTCAAGGCGCAGGTACCTAGAAGTATGGTATAAATAAGGATAACTTTGTAATTATGATTAGTTTGATCTTCCTCTTGAAGATGATCACTTGGTGATCGAAACACGTATCGAGGTGTTTGGTGTTGGGAAAAATCTCCAGTAATATTCTTTACTACACCGAAGGTTCCAAACAGTGCAAGTATCGAGATTATAGGTTAGGCTCATATATGATTCAACAATTATTTGAATATTGGAAAGCCAGTTAGCAATCATGGGGGATGAAGCAGGTTCATTACAAAGTGTAACTTGTGGCGTTTCACAAGGTTCATTTCTTAGACCGGTTTTATTCCTCATGTATATTAATTCAACTTCCGATTTGAGTTTGAGTAGAAGAATCAAACTGTTCGCAGTTGACAAAAGTAATGAGGAAATTTATCATTGAAATCTAAAATTAATATCTTTGAATAGTCACAAATTAACAATTACTACATCAAAATTCTCGTTTCTGTTTATAACAAAGACAAAATCCAAATTGAAAAGAGATCACATAAAATATAGAATATTCATATATTATAAAGAGAATTTTTGGTCAACATGTTTATGGAAAAATCATTTGAAAGATTATTTTCACCGATCGGCATTTTATTTAAAATGTGTAATATTTCTGGAATTGATTGAATTTCAGTTTGATTCATTCAAAATTTCAATATTTGCTGCTAATGCTTCACTCATAGATCCTTTAAAATCTTTCCAGAATAAAACAACCAAATGCATATATCAAAGGTATTTTCCAGGGTTTTTTGGCAGTGGTCTGCAGGTTTTTATGCCTGACATTTCGTCTACTACTGCGGTAGACATGAAAGGCAATGAGGTTGAAGTGCTCGAGTTGTTGTTCGTACAACAACTGGAGCACTTCAATATTCAACAATATTCAACGTAGAAACTGCTGGTAATAAGACTTCGATTTTATATTATTATTGGTGGGCGTGGCTTGGTTTCTCTTAATTGGATTACCTGACCTTGTTTGTGTACAATTGAAGACAGGTAGCCGGATTTAATTAATGTTCATTGCCTTTTTTCTATTGAAATCATCCCCGTGTTTTTGAATTTTATCGAATTACTGTATTAGTCTAATCAACAAGTTCAAAAACATGAAAAATAGAGATAAAGGTCCTAAAAATATGAGCGATAGCTCATTCAATTCGGAATCACCTCTAGAAAAATGTTTTTGAAGGATTTTGGTGCAGGATTAACTAATTATTTAAACAATCAAAATATAAAAAAATCGATTTTAAACAATTAAAAATTAAAATTAAATTAAAAAAGTTATTAACGAAAAACTAAATACCTTTTTTTTAACTTATTTTGTTAATAACAATTGCAATTTTTTACCTGCACTAAAATCCTTCAGAAACATTTTTCTAGAGGTGATTCCGAATCGAATGAGCTATCGCTCATATTTTTAGGACTTTAATCTCTATTTTTCATGTTTTTGAACTTGTTGATTAGACTATATCTTCAAATGAGATAAGAGTGCCTTTTTTGGGAACATGTCCGGCTACAACTGATTTGTCGGTCCAAGACTTGATGAACGTATAAAATTCGTTTTTCTCATAATCCCGGAGGTCGGGTCCCGACCGAGCCTTTTAAATGTCCTTGGATCGAGTAAGGCGACAATTTTCTCATTATAACCCTTGGTGTTCACGACGGTGGCATTTCCTTTGTCGTCAGTTCCTCTCGTTCCCGTCGTGATGTAATGGCCTTGGGTAGTTTTAGACGCATTAGAATCCTTGACGTTTCTATGCGTATTTCCTCAGCAATGTACGAATACCTAATTCGACATTGGCATCCATATCCTCGTGGTGGTACCGTGGCTGGATCTATTGCGAAGTTTTTACCTTTGGCGAGTATGCCGAACTCGTCTTCTGAAAGTGTCTCCGACCGGAGAAATTGACCACTGTTCGTCTATTGTACTGCGGTAAATGATTTTTGTGGCTCTCACTCAGACTCCCGTCTTTCTTTATATGTCTCTCAGTAGTGCTAATCTTACGGTTTCCAGCGTAGGATACATCGTGAAACGGTCAATTTTGCCCCAATCACTCCAGTGCATCCAATTACACCGGTGCCACAACGACGTAATAGAAATGTCGGTGAACGCAGCGAGTTCACTTTCTTCTTGCGGAGTACATCCAAACATAGATAGATAGATAGATCTTTATTTCAAAATAGGTAACCCTAATATACATATATATCCCAATTAAATCAACGGTGTATATATACAACATTCGACATAGACATAGTAGTAACTTTTGATTTCTCTTTTCCGTAAAGGCTGTTGAACCACGATAAGAAGTATAAGTACTCGTCTCTTTGAACACAAGAGACATTGTCGCCTCGGACAAACCAACAAATCAGCTCTAGCCCAAACATGAGACACTCACATACCTCATTCGAAGATAAAAATCAAAATTACTATCCAAGAATATATAGAGAAGCAATAGAAATCCAAAAATACTGGGAAAATTTCAATAGAAAAGAAGAGGCAAAGAACATTAATGACATCTGGCTACTTATCCTTAATGGGGAATGTTCCTCAATTTGGTTTATTACAGCAAATGCAAGTTTTAAAACAAAATAAAGTTGAGTTTGATTCATGAGTTTTTCAAATTCACTTCGAAAAGGATTCGAATTGATGTTTCAAATGTTGGGTTTTAATTTTTGAAGGGATTTGTTTCCAATTCACATATTGGCAACAGCACCTATATCAAGTTGAAACAATTTATACGTACCTAGATATTCTACCTTAAAAAAGGAAAATTATTTTTATAAATCAACAATTAAGGCAAAATATAAATTATAGTTCAATACCACCTCCACAAGCCACATAAACAACAGTTGTTTTGTTATTTATTTATATAGAGGAAGATAGGTTAGGTGATAACGTAAAATTCCAAATACAGACG